TAGACACGGGATTTCACCATCTTGGCCATGCTGGTCTTGAACTCCTGACCTCGTGAACCGCCCGCCTCGGCCCCCCAAAGTGCTGGGGTTATAGGCATGAAGCACTGTGCCCGGCCGCTATTTTTTTTTCTATTTTTAGTAGAGACGGGGTTTCGCCATATTGGTCAGGCTGGTCTCAAATGATCCTCCGGCCTCAGCCGCCCAATTTGGAGGGATTACAGGCGTGAACCACCGTGTCCGGCCCCAATTTCACTTTTCTTAATCAGACAATTCAGCTTGAAGAGTTTACTGAAGAGGCAAACTTCATGGAGGAACCTATTTACGTTAAACGTTTAAATTTATTCTGACAAATCCTGAGTTCGCCGTCCGTACTCACCCGATCTCAAGAACCTCTGTTGACAAGTAAGTGGGTATACATTTTTCTCGCAAATGTTTTACCACTAAGACCTTAAGAAAGTTAAAAGTAGGGGGAAGCTGACAGAAAAAGAGATTAAAAAGTAAAATATACGCGCGCACACACATATATACACACTAATATATATTACATTACGTCTGAGGGGCGGGCATCGGAGACCAGAAGAGCTGCACGCGGCTGCACGCGCTCTGCCCGATGCGCATGCGCTTTCTTTCAACGGTCACCCGCTGGGGCGTGACAGTGACTTTTTGACCCCCAGTTGAGGTCACCTTTCCCGCCAAAGCGCAGCGCAAGGCGCACTGGGAGCCTCAGACACGGAAAGGCTCAGCGCCACGTCTCAGGCAGGGAAAAGTCACACAGCAGGGGGAAGGTTAAAGTAACTGCATGTGCAGTTACTGAATTTGATTGTTTTCTGACTTCTGATTTTCTTTCTTTCTCTCTCTCTCTCTCTCTCTCTCTCTCGACGGAAGTTTGCTCTTGTAGCCCAGGCTGGAGTACAGTGGCATGATCTTGGCTCACTGCAACCTCTACCTCCAGGGTTCAGACGATTCTCCTGCCTCAGCCTCCCAAGTAGCTGGGATTACAGGCGCCCATCACCACGCCCAGCTAATTTTTGTATTTTTAGTACAGAGGGGGTTTTGCCATGTTAACCAAGCTGGTCTCAAACTCCTGACCTCAGGTGACCAGCCTCCCTCGGCCTCCCAAAGTGCTGAGATTACAGGCGTGAGCCACCACACCCGGCTGACTTTTTATTTTCTTATTGGAACTACTACAAATTGCACTCCCACCTACCAGTCTCCTCTGTCTTCAGGAAACCAGTTGCTTTAGCAGTCTTCTACTTAGCTATTTCCACTGCGTTATGTCATTGGGGATAATGGATAGCTTTGAATGTAATTTGTCTCTTTGAGAAATAAAATAAGATCAGATTGGGTAGGTATTAATAGTTGGAGATTATTCAGTAGTACAAGCTTCTTAGTTTACAGGTTATTATATATCCAAATACATTTCTTACCAGTGTAAACATTCAATTACAGGCATACCTTGGAGATATTGCAAGTTCAGTTCCAGACCATCCAATAAAGCAAATAACACAATAAAGCAAATTACACAAATTTGTTAGTTTTCCATGTGTATAAAAGTTATGTTGGCTGGATGCGGTGGCTCATGCCTCTAATCCCAGCACTTTGGGAGGCTGAGGTGGGATGATTGCTTGAGACCAGAAATTGGGGATCAGCTTGGGCAACAAAGTGAGACCCTGCCTCTACAAAAAATAAAAAAATTAGGCGGAGGTAGTGGCACACACCTGTAGTCCCAGCTACTCAGGAGACTTAGGCAGGAGGATCCCTTGAGCCCAGGAGTTTGCAGTTGCAGTGAGCCCTGTTTGAGCCACTGCACTCCCGCCTGGGCGACAGAGTGAGACTCTTCTTTCAAAAAAAAAAAAAAAATTATGGTTACACTCTTAATATCTTAATGTATTTATTGTACATATCTTATGCTTACTGTAGTCTGTTGAGTGTGCAGGAGCATAATGTCTAGAAACACAATGCACATACTTTAATTTAAAAATACTTTATTGCTAAAAAGTGCTAATGATCATCTGAATAATAATCTTTTTGCGGGTGGAGGGTCTTGCCTTGATGTCGATGGCTGCTGACTGATCAGGGAGTTGTTTGCTGCATGTTGGGGTGTTTGTGGCAATTTCTTAAATTAGGACAACAATAACATTCACCACATCGATTGACTCTTCCTTTTACAGAAGATTTCTCTGTAGCATGTGATGCTATTTGACAGCATTTTACCCACAGTAGAAATTCCTTCAGAATTGGAGTCAATCCTCTCAAACCCTGCTACTACTTTGTCAACAAAGTTTATGTAACATTCTAAATCCTTTGTTACCATTTCAATCTTGTTCACAGCAACTTCACCAGGAGTAGATTCCATCTCAATAAATCACTTTCCTCAATCATCCATAAGAAGCAATTCAGCCGGCAGTGGTGGCTCATGCCTGTAGTCCCAGAACTTTGGGAGGCTGAGGCAGGCAGATCACAAAGTCAGGAGTTTGAGACTAGCCTGGCCAATATGGTGAAACCCCATCTCTACTAAAAATACAAAAATTCGCCAGGCATGATAGCACGCCTGTAATCCCAGCTACTAGGGAGGCTGAGGTGGGAGAATCGCTTGAATCCAGGAGGCTGAGGTTTCAGTGAACTGAATCATGCCACTGCACTCCAGCCTGGGCAACAGAGCAAGACACCATCTAAAAAAAAAAAAAAAAAAGAAGCAATTCCTCAGCAGTTCAAATTTTGTCATGAGATTGTAGCAGTTCAGTCCCATCTTCTCATCTTCAGGTTCTACTTCCAATTCTGGTACTCTTGCTATTTCCACATCTGCAGTTACTTCCTCCACGGCAGTCTTGAACTTCTCAAAGTCATCCATGAGGATTGGAAAAACTTCTTCTAAAGTTAATTATAATTCAGAATAATTATTAGACCAAGATTTCTTCTGTTAATATTGATATTTTGACCCCCTCCTATGAATCACAAATATTCTTAATGCCATCAAGAATAGTGACTCCTTTCCAGAAAGTTTTCAATTTTCTTTGCCTACATCCATCAGAGGAATCACTATGGCAGCTACAGCCCTTACAAAATGTATTTCTTAACTTATAAGGCTTGAAAGTCAAAATTACTCCTTGATCCATGGGCTGCAGAATGGATCTGCATTTTTAGTAGTTTTTTTTAGTTAGTAGGCATGAAAACAACATTAATCTCCATGTTCATCTCCATTAGAGCTCTTGAGTGACCAAGTGCATTGACAATGAGCAGTAATATGTTGAAAGGAATCTTTTTTTATAAGCAGCAGTAGGTCCCAACCATGGGCTTAAAATATCCAGAAAACTATGTTTTAAGCAGATGTGGTGTCATCCAGGCTTTGTTGTTCCATTTATAGATCACAGGCAGAGTAGATTTAGTATAATTCTTAACGGCCCTAGAATTTGCAGAATGTTAAGGGAGCACTGGCTTCAAATGTAAGTCACCAGCTGCATTATCCTCTTGTGAGAAATTCATCCTGTCCGCTAAAGCTTTGAAGGCATTCATTTCTCTTCTGTAGCTATGAAGGTCTTCAGTGGAATCGTCTTCCACAAAGCTGTTTCACCTACGTGGAAAATGTGCTGTTTAGGATAACCACCTGCATCAGTTATCTTAGTTAGATCTTCTGGATAACTTGCAGCTTCCACATCAGCACTTGCTGCTCCACCTTGCACTTTTTTTTTTTTTTTTGAGACGGAATCTTGCTCTGTCACCCAGGCTGGAGTGTGGTGGCGCGATCTCAGCACTTTTGTGTTATGGAGAATGGCTTCATCCCTGAAACCTCATGAACCAACATCTGCTAGCTTCAGACTTTTCTTCTGCAGCTTCTGCATCTCTGTCAGCCTTTCTAGAATTGAGGAGTTAGGGCCTTGCTCTGGATTAGACTTTGGTTTAAAAGCATATAGTGGCTGGCTCAATCTTCTATCCAGACCACTCAAACTTTCTCCATATCACCAATAAAGTTGTTTCACTTTCTTATCATTCATGTGTTCACTGGAGTAGCACTTGCAATTTCCTCCAAGAACTTTCCCTTTACATTCACAACTATTTGGCACAAGAGGCCTTTCAGCCTATCTTGGCTTTTGGCATGCCTTCTTCACTAAGCTTAATCATTTCTAGCTTTTAAGTGAGAGGCATGCAACTCTTTCTTTCACTTGAACACACAGACAACAGTGTAGGGTTATGAATTGACCTAATTTAAATGTTGTTGTGTCTTAGAAAATAGGGAGATCCAAGGAGAGGAAGAGAGATGGGGACACAGCCAGTAAATGGAGCAGTTAGAACACACACAAGATTTATTGATTATATTCACCATTTTACATGGGTTCGGTTTTTGGCTTC